ACGTCAAAATAGTTCCAGAAAAACTTTTAGAAATACTTATATGTATCAAACCACGAGTGAGACGCTCAAGCTATAGTTTTTATTTTTTCTTAACTCAAACATTATTGCAGTTGCAGATTAGTAGCCTAGGTAATACATCATCCATCAGCAGTGGCCACCCTTTTTTTTTTTAATATATATTTTTCTTTTCCAAAGGGAACGGAATTCAATTTTGCAAATGGGTAATATAATAAAGAGGCATATCCATTATAAAGTAGGAGTTGGACTAAGTCATTGAGAATTGAAAAACAAAGTAAAGAATGTAAGTGGTATATTTGGGCGAATTCTCAAATTAATGCCTCATAATCCACGACAGAATGCTGTATGATAAATCTATCCCAAAAAGACGATTATTCTGGAGACGCGTATCTCACTTAACCAATAAATAAATCCCTTGAGCTAACAATATTTGATGTTAATAAAATATACCAAGTTCGGAACAAATAATTTGAATATACCAAGTACTATTCTTCCAGGTAATTAAATACTGAAATTTGGAACTTCTTCTTTTTTCCAGAACACTTAGTATTTTATAGTATATGGAATGCGTTCTAATAATTGGACTTTTAGAAATTTTAAATTTGATGGGACAGTAGACTTTCAACTCTCTCATGGAGGGTATAATATAATGAATGACTCAGACCATTGAACCGAAATGTTTAAGGCAAAACTTTTTTGAGTAACACAAGATAAAAAAAAAAAAATACTCTTTTTGGATGTCTGTATAACTTCAAACTCTGAATCTCGAGATTTTATAAATAGTTAGAATTAATGACAAGGGCACTGCTCAAAACTAAAATGCCTCAGTTGCATCTTTTTTTCTTGGAAAAATGACACTGCATAATCGCTGTAAAAATAAATGTCGAAAAATATATAAATTTGTATATTTCTTTGTAAATAGATACATTCTGTATGTTATATACAAAAATTATACAAATTTCATGCACTTTTTCGATTAGCAAATGTAAATAGTTTCTGGACAGAAAAAAAGATAAGGAAACGGCTCCATGTGCTCTGATTCAGCGGACTAAAAGTGTTAATACCCCTATTTTCTTTTCCAAGCCCAGTTCTATAGTAAAAAAAAAAAAATCACTAATCTTGTATTACACCAAACAATATTAGTTAGTCATCGTGAGATATTGGGATAAAATTATATTTTACATTATCATGTTTCAGTGATAACATATACACAACATGTCAAATCATCAATTATTCCAAACTTTGAAACAAAAAGAGAAAATGAAAGATCCAGAATAAATAACTGCAGAAGACCATTTGCATTAGGATCGCAATGATAGCCTGTTTGGCCAAGTTTTTTTTTGGGCCAAAAGTGATTTTTTTGGCCAAAAGTGTTTGGCCAAGCTTTTGGAAGGAAAAAAAGTGATTTTGAGGGGAAGCAGAAGCAGTTTTGGAGAAGCAGAAAAAAGTAGCTTCTCTCCAAAAGCACTTTTCTGAGAAGCACTTTTGAGAAAAATACACTTAGAAGCAGTTTTCAAAATTTTAGCCAAACACTAATTACTGCTCAAAAGTGCTTTTCAAATTAATTAGCCAAACACAAACTGCTTCTTACCAAAAACACTTTTTTAAAAAGTACTTTTGAGAAAAGCACTTCTCAAAATAAGCTGATTTTAGAAGCTTGGCCAAACGGGCTATAAATATTCCTCCAACTAACTAGAACAATAAAAGAATAAATGAAAAAGGTCCAAAAATATCCCTAAACTATGGTATATAGCTCACTTTTGTCCTCCGTTAGTAAACTCGGCCAAAAATATCCTCCCCGTTAGCACAATGGGCCACTAATGTCCTTCAACCTAACAACCCTCCACAAAAGCCATTTTAATCCTACATGGCATCCACGTAGCTGTGACATGGGAGCCACATAAGCGGGCATCTTTCTAAACCCTCTGACACCCATTTCCCAACAAAGATCTTGCCGTAACCCCACCTCCAAACCACATTTCATAACAAAAACCCAATTTTTCCTAAACCCAATTTCCCTTCAAAATTTCTGCTCCAATTCCTGCTCAAATTTCCACATTTATGCTCAAATCTCCAAATTTCTGCTCAATGTCTGATTTATCTGTGAATGCGTATGAAATTCAATATGCAAGAAGGTGTCATTGCGGATTGATTGCGCTATATTTGACAGCTTGGTCAGATGCCAATGCGAGGAGAAGGTTCTGCAAATGTCCAAGATCCAAGGTTAGTTTTGAATTTATTTTATTTTTGGTCGATTTATGGGATTCATCTTCTTTTGTCGAGTTAGGTCGTTCTTGATTTTTATTGTTTGTGTACAAAACCAGAGCTGCTGTAAATTCTAATAATGGTGTAGGTTAGTTCTTGCGGGTATTTTGAATGGATTGATGAAGAGCTCCCTCGTCGAGCGGTGATGGTGATCAAAGATTTAAAAACTAAACTTGATGCTGCTAAGGTTGAGAGGAACAATTTGAGGAATAAATTTTACCTCATGGAACAAGCTACGATGGTTCAAAGGGGCTCTAAGAACTTGTTTGATGAAATGGAAGATGTTATGACGGTTGAAAGGCATAGTTTGAAGATGAAACTTGACGAAATGGAGCAATTTCAACTTGTGGAAGCAGAAAAAGCTAGTAAGTTAGAGGTCAAAGTGAAGAAGATGAGAAATATCATTTTGGTTTCATGGGCTTTACTATTTGTTTTGGTAGTAGTAGGGATGATGAAGTGAATGTATGTTATTTTAATATGTTGTTGTAGTATTTTAGTTTAGTTATAAGGGTGATCAAGTTAATCTATGTATGTTTAGTATGTTGTAGTATGTTTCCAACTCTTCAAAGTGATGGTATCAATGTTTCTTCTTCAACCATTTGTGGGACAGAACTAGAATACAGGTCATTCTTCTGTTACTTTAAGAACTTGTTCTTGTTTTATGCTCTAGTATGACTGCAGTAGCATTATGGTTAGAATGCAGGAGGCTTCAAAGTATACATTAGGATCTGTTGTCAGTGGGGTATTTTGCATCTTATTCCATAATGTTTCTAAGGGGTTTATCTTTCCTCTTCTTTGTTCCGTTACTTGAGTATTTTGCTATTTCCTGAAGGCTAACATGTACAACACATAACAAAAATCGCTAAACTTACCTGATCATCAGACTTAATCCACTGTAATTCCAGACTCTCCAACCTTGCATTTCTAAGTAAATGCTGCAGCAAAGAAATGTAAGGTTACACACAAACCAAAGGAAGCATTACGTTGTTCTTTTTCTATTTGACGACCAAAATAGGAATCGATAATTTTATGCAACAAGTATTATCATTTTGAGGCTTTCTTTTTTCTGCACAGTGTGTACAACTTACACAAGTTTCTTCCACACACAGAACATTTGGCAGTCTCAGGTGTCTGCAATCAAAACAAATGTGATTCAACAGGAGCTATGTTTGAGACAATCAAAAGCGGTAGTTGAAACACAATATGCAGCATGAATGCACAAATCATAAGTAATAATGAATGAACTACATGCACATGATGGCACAACATTGTCCTGTTTCCTATTTAGGAGTACTCTTTTCTACAATGCTCCGCTGAAAAAAACAGATTTGCAAAAAAAAAAAATTGCTGTAAACAACAATCCAAAACTATCCAGATTTACAAAAAACACTGTCCAAACTGCCGAGATTTGCAAAAAAAAATGTTGTAAACAACAGACCAAAACTGTCCAGATTTACAAAAAAATATTGTCCAAATTATCCAGATTTACAAAAAAAACACTGTCCAAATTATCCAGTTTGCAAAAAAACACTGCTATAAAGAACAGTCCAAAACTGTCCAGATTTACAAAAAAACACTGTCCAGATTTGCAAAACACTGCTATAAACAAAAAACGGTCCAAATTTGCAGAAAAAATACTGTCAAAACAGCTGAAACAAAACAACTAAACTGTTGTAAAATATCAGTACTGCTGTAATACTGAAATATTAGTACTGCTGCTACAAAACAACACTGTCCAGCCATCAAAACATGTTTACAAAATAACTACTGAACCAAACAGCACTGCTGTAATATTACAGTACAAACCAAAACATCAAAACAAAATGGTTCTGTGAGTTCCCAGAATTGCAACTACATACAATAACCAACATTCTTAGATTTGTGAGTTCCCATTGAGTTTCCTACACTTCAACTTCCCGACTTTCTTTTGTCTTGCCACTTCCAATTAATTTCCAGTCACAACTTCTTTGCCTTTCCAGGTGAGCTTGGTAGGTGAGTAAAGAAGATCACTGGGATAACTGACACCGGTATGACCTCCTCTGAAAGAGATGACTCTTGTTCCTTCTGAGGTCAATTATTGCTGCCTCATCAGTAGTCGTGTTTGATCTTCAGAAATAATCTTAGGCATTAAAGCAGGGTCACTTTCATGCTCACTACCATCGCCAAAGGGTTTTGTTTGTTGTCTTGGAACTCTTGGTGTAGGCATGAATACAAATTCAATTATGTTCACCTTCTTGTGTTGGTTGAGTTGGTTGAGGGGCTGAACAACTAACATCCTCAACATTTCCTTCAACACCAACCTACTAAATGAAAACCTTTCTATTAAAATAACTACAATATGCTATAAGAACAAAGATAAGTTAAGAAGCAAGTACCTTGCATGTCCTTGAGTTGTGGTCCAGTTCACCACAAATGCTGCATGTCATTCTAGTTCCCCTTCTTGATGCAACCCTATCTCCTTGTATCTTGTTAGCCTCATCCTTCTCCCTATTTCTTTTGACTTTTGGCCTTCCAACAGTTTTGGCAAGTGGAGGAGGGTCCATAGCATGTTCTGGTAAAACTTTCCAAAACTTTTCACCTCTAACAGGCATCAACTTGGCCCTATATGTCATCAAATAAGTTTCCTTGATGTGCCACCAACTAATTTCAGTCATTGGATCCTCTCTCTTGTATTTTAGTTCCCTGATGGTATGAGGGCATGGGATGCCAGTCAACTCTCAGGATCTACAAGTGCATTTTTTCTCCACTAGGTTCACTGTATGTCTATCACCACCATCAGAAACCTCATAGTCAGTTAAATCATTGAAATGAACAGTACATAAGTTGGCTACCTTCAAATAAGCAGCATATAACTTCATGCAGTTAGGACTAAACTCACCTCCCCATGTTCTAGCTTCTTCTTTCTTCTCTCTCAACCTGTACATGACCTTGATTCTAATATCCTCAAGCATCTTTAGGATAGGCTTGCCTCTTGCTTCTAAGATCCAAGAGTTGAAGGACTCTGTAAAATTATTGTCCACCATCTGATTTTTGCATAATGTATCAAAGTAGGACCTACACCTATTCTGTGGTGGATACCTAAGCAACTCCTTAGCAGCATCAACAGACAATTCACCAAGACTCTTTAGTTGATCTTTAAAGTCCTCCTCATAAGTGCTCCAAGCAGACCACCATAGGTATTTATTCATCTCTCCTGAAATTCTGATCCTCTTACTCCAGTTGGCTTCAATATGCCTCACACAAAACCGATGATTTGAGAGAGGGAGGACAGTTCTTACTGCTTCCAATAGACCCTGTACATGTAAATTTAAACAGAATTAACTATATAATAATTTAAAAATAACTGAAAATAGTCAATTAAGCAAAATCATAAGTTGTACCTTTTGCATATCAGACATGAAGGTAATACTGGTTCCATATTTCAGATTCAATGAGTGTTTCAGCAGATCCTGAAACCATGTCCATGTCAAGGTGTTTTCCTTGTCAAGTACAGCCCAAGCCAAGGGATAGAAATGATTCTGACAATCTTGTGCAACAGCCACCAATAATTGCCCCTTGCAATGACCCTTTAAGAAAGTCCCATCTAGTCCAATGAATGGTCTCAACCCTTCTTTAAATCCCAACTTCATTGTATTGAAGCATATGTACATTCTAAGAAATCTTCTTTTACCTTCAGCCATGGTATCTTTTGATATTGATAACCACATCACTGCCAGGATTGCTCTCCCTAATCTCATTTGCATATGCTTCTAATATGTTATAGTCATCTAAAAAGCTTCCTTGCAATTGCTGAAGTGCCATCCTCTTAGCCCTTTTCAATGTGGAGTTATGTACATTCAATGAAAATTGATTTTTCAAATCTAGTTTCATATCCTTTATCTTGTACTTGGGGTTATTCTGCACCTTACTCCTGAAATATTCAGCTAAAGTTTTTGTTTTGGCTCTAGGATTCTCAAATGCATCTTCACAGTTGTGCTCTGTCTTCAATGTTTTAATCTTAAAGCCAGGACCCTTCTTATCTTCAGAGATGAGGCATACAAAAGGGCAGCCTACTACACATCTATACCTTACTCTTATTTTATCATTTTTTCTAAGCTTCAAAGGTTTGAATTTGCAATAGCATAGAAGTTCATGACTTTTTTGGCCCCATCCAAGTCCTTAAATGCCATAGACTTATCAAGCTCTTTGTAGTGACTAAGCTTATCATTAACTTCTTTACCCTTTTGCATCCTAAGTGACTCTAATTCTTCGAAATCGTATTCACTAGCATCTATACAATAATCTGAACGTTTATTACTATCCGATTCACAATCAGTACCTAATTCAAACTGATATAGACCTGAAATTTGCTCTTCGTGGTCCCCCATATTGAAATATCTATAATATAGACACAGAAGAAAACATAGAGGGACCACATGAATAATTTAACAACTTTGACATTAAAATATTGAACATATAAATTACTACATATAATATAGTGAAAAGAATAAAGCACACACTTTAAGAGAAGAAAAACAGTCAGCACACACTTTAAGAGAAGCACACACGGTTTGTCGATTACCAGTGGAAAGAAAAACAAAAGTCTTAAGAAGAAATGCACATGGCTCTGTCGATTTCAACAACCCAGCCCTACCACACTATGATAAAATATGTGAAAAGGACACCTGAGCCAAAGACAATGTACACCTAGGGCACAAATTGATACCACATAAGGAAACAACAAAGATAACAAACAAAAAGAGTACCAGACCCACATGCAAACACTATACACTAAGAAATCTGGTCAGAAATACCAGTACATGACAAAACCCTAGAAAATTACAAAAAATAAATTGAAATCGAGAAAAAGAAGTTGGGGAATAAAATGGAAAATTACCTGAATATCTTCAGATGATTTGTGTTGTTAAACCTTGCTCGATCTTATCATCGCCTCAACTCTCAAATCGCCAAGGTAGAAGGGTCAGGAAGAAATGGGTTTTTTTGTTATGAAATGGGGTTTGGAGAAGGGGTTACGGCTGCCCGCTTATGAAATGGGGTCTTTCTTTGTAAATGGGTTTCGGAGTGGGTTTAGAAGGCTGCCCGCTTATGTGGCTGCCATGTCACAGCTATGTGGATGCCATGTAGGATTAAAATGGCTTGTGTGGAGGGCCGTTAGTTTGAAGGACATTAGTGGCCCATTGTGCTAACGGGGAGGATATTTTTGGCCCAGTTTACTAACGGAGGACAAAAATGAGCTATATACCATAGTTTAGGGATATTTTTGGACTTTTTTTGAAGAATAAATAAATAAAACCCTATCTGAATTCGAATATTTTATTATCCTTTGAGTACAGAATAGTTGAATTTTCAAGCATAGGGTCCTAGACTCCTAGTTTTATATATGTCTATCCTAGTTTAATCAATGTGATTAAGTACTTACATCTTGACCCAAGGAAAAGAATATCAAGACTCGTACAAGTTGTGACGTGTGTGCGTGCGGAGAGAGTAAGAGATAGAGAAGAAGCAGATTGCAATTACACGAGAAGTTTTATTTTGTGTCTCATACAACTAGTGTTAGTTGTATGAGACACAAAATAAAATTTTCCCAATTACACCAATTAGCAATCGACTTGGATCGATTCGTAAATGATCTCTTAATTTTTATTTTATTGTGCAAAGTCTTTGATTGTTATGTAACATTAAAATACCTCGACAACTCTAGTTAATTATAGTTAGTTATAGTTAGTTACAACAGTTAGTGGTTAATGCCAGCTCATATCTGTATGGGTCAAAATCATATTAGAGAAATTCGACATGCGGAGACAATAGGCCGAGGTCGGGCAGTGATCAATAAGGCCGAGGTCGGACAACGATCAATAAGGCCGAGGTGGGGCAATGATCTATAAGGTCGAGGTCGAGCATTGATCAATAAGGCCGATGTCGAGAAGTGATCAATAAGGCCGAGGTCGGGCAGTGATATAACAGCTAGTTTGCTTTGGAATACTCAAAGGGAATATTCTATTGGATATTTCCTCTAATTGTACTTTTTAAAGGTTTTCTAGGGATACCCCTTATAAATAGGAAGAGAGGACTTCCCAAAAAGTAGGGGTGTGCATTCGAATCGGTTTATCGATAAATCGAATCGATTATTTATTATCGAAATCGAAATCGAAAAAATCGAAACCTTATTGAAACGATAACGATAAGCATATGTACAAATCGATAATCGATAAGTGATTATCGATAAGGGTCAAAATCGAATCGATAAATCGAATGCACACCCCTAGACTGTAGACACTTGTTAAATGAGTAATTACCTATTTGTTTAGATTAATATAACATACAGAATGTATATATATTCCGCTACTATTTTGAAAGCGGCTATACAATATTATTTTCCCTAATCTATGCCCTTTCCTTTACCCTAAGTCCCTTACCCTATTATTTCCTCTACCACATTTAAGGAATGATCATATTTAAAGATCAAGGGAATGAAGTTCAAATTAATGGAAAACAGAATTAGCCGTGATGATGTGTTTTGTTTTGTTTTGTTTTTTTTATACCGTTGGAGTGTTGGTGGCATACATTTGATCCCTTACTTTAGTTTTGTTGCATGTTCTTGTTGACACAATTTTTATATTATAAATGGTGTTCGTCTTATTGTAGCTTCTTTTTGTCCGTATTAGTTAGGCGCGTTTATAGCGATATACTTTCCGTGGAATCCCGCAAATTTTCTTATTGGTGTAATCGATAACCGAATCGATAAGCCCCCAAAATCTATAAATCGAAATCGAAAAAATCGAAACCTTATTAAAACGATAACGATAAGCATATGTACAAATCGATAATCGATAATCAATAAGTAATTATCGATAAGGGTCAAAATCGAATCGATAAATCGAGTGCACACCCCTACCAAAAAGGGGGATCTCTCTCTCTCTCTCTCTCTCTCTCTCTCTCTCTCTCTCTCTCTCTGTCCCTCTCTCTAGAAAATATGTAAACACACCTCTCTAAAGAGATTAGAGGATCTGTGATCCCATACCTTCATCAGATCCAAAAAGGGTCCTAAGGTTCTTGTATTTGTCTATCATTCATCTTTATCAAATGAAAGAGGATCCGCCTCACTCAAGATTGGGTGAATCTTTTCCTTTATTTACATTTTATTGCCATTTAATGTTACTTAATGCATCTTTCTTCATGCTATTAAATCTGGCCATAATCACTGCCAGCATTTATACTCAGCTATATTTTTCTATTCATATTATTCATCTCGGATCTAGAATTAATTATCCTTAACTAGGATTTACCTTCTATCTTCTTATTTAATCGGTTTTACAAAAAAGGTCTCATACTTTTTTGCTCAAACAATTTGGCGCCGTCTGTGAGATTTTCTAGTTAAAATTTTAGTTTCCTCTAGATCTAAAAATTCAATTATAGTTTCACTTTCTATTCACTTCCTGTTCATTGGCGTCACCGTCTTCCTTTAATCGCCAGGACTCTGTACGTCCATTATCTTACAGAATTCGATCAGACTAAATGGGAATAAACTGATTCAATAAATTGGTGCTATTTAAAGAAATTCATAACTGTTATTCAGAAAAATAATTATCATCTCATGTTCGTTTCTACTTTATAAGTTAACAAAATACCTATCTTATTTTCACCATCTGGCTTAGAGGCGCATGATATTGAATGTTGTTAGCTTTTTTGGCATGATTACAAAGATTGGATTGGATTGGATTGTATTGGATTGGCTATCTCCAGTGTGCTGCTCCATGGTCTCCATAAGTTTTTCCTTTAGACTTGCTTAACTTGCTGGATGGAAAGTGCAACTGTGCCATCAGCGGTCAAGCACAAAATATCAAAACGGACGGCCTTTCCAAACTGGTAGTGGCCACTAAAAGCATAACCGAAGAAGGGATCGTGGTCACTCCTCCTCACTCGCCGACCGATCAAATCGAGGTAACGAACGTTTTTATTTCGTTTAACTGACTATTTTTCTAAGTGAGATAGAAGCAGGAGCATTCTCCTAGATACGCGAACAGGGAATGATCGCCATCATATACATATATAAATAAAAAAATCCAAAGACGCCAAGAGACCTTATAGGCTGGACTAGATTGCCAGCCCGGAAAACAGGTAAATCCCTCCAATATGCGTAAGCAAAGCATAAGTGCATGAAGCTTACCCGCATATTTGCCAAAGCGACGCTGCATCAATTACACAAGTTACACTCGGCCTCGTCCGAATCAACATTCGTCCTTGCCCGAATCAACAGTCAGCCTCGCCCGAATCAACACTCAGCCTCGCCTGAATCCACACTCGGCATCGTTCAAATCAACACTCGGCCTCACCCGAATCAACACTCGGCCTCACCCGAATCAACACTCGGCCTTGTCCGAGTCAACATTCGGCCTCGCCCGAATCAACATTCAACATCTCCCGAATCAACACTCGGCCTTGCCCGAATCAACACTCGGCATAGCCCGAATCAACATTTGGCCTCGCCCGAATCAGCACTCGTCCTCGTCCGAATCAACATTCGGCCTCGCCCGAATCAACATTCGGCCTCGCCCGAGTCAACATTCGGCCTCGCCCGAGTCAACATTCGACCTTGCCGGAATCAACACTCGACCTCGCCCGAATCAAC